CATAGCTGCACCACTCCGTCTCCTTAAAATACCATTCACCTGGGCGCCTGGTTAGCTCAGCTGGTAGAGCTGGCGACCCATGTACTGAGGCTGAGTCCTTGCTGCAGCGATCCAGGGTTGAATACGACCTGCGGCCCTTTGCTGCGTGTCATCCCCCTCTCTAGCCCCCTTTCCTGTCTATCTTTGGCTGTCCCTATCAGGTAAAGGTAAAAAAAATAAATAATAATAATAATAATAAAATACCGAATCCACCAATGCTTGGTGTATACCCCCTGGATCCTTACGGGGGTGTACCTCCCTCCTGGACGGGGGGGGTGTTGGGGGGCCAGAAACCCGGAAAACCCCCCCTCCATGAGAGGGCACTCCCTGCGGAAATGCCCGGGCTGCCCGCACCGCCAACACTCCTGCCCTGACGCCTGAGGAACCCCCTGTGGGCCGAGAGCGGCACCCGTAGCGGCTGGACCCTGGGAAGGAGAGAGAGAAGAGGGTTGGTTACTGCGTGGCAGAGGGAGAGGCCGGGCAACAGTTTCCAGTCGGGGGGTAAGCGGGGGTGGGGGGTCTCCTGCGGGGCGCCGGCACGGGTCGGGCGGGTGCAGAGGGCCGCCTCTCCGGAGCTCGGTCCCCACCGTGGACAGCCAGATGATCCTCTGCGAGGGTGATGGCGGCCTCCAAACCCGCCGGTCGGTGGCACCGCACCCACTCCGCGGTCCCGGTCGGGAGCCCCTCCAAAAACTTCTCCAGCACCCCCTTCTCCAAACACCCCCTCTCCCCCCTGGATCCCCGGGCGGCACCCCCCTGGTGGCAGCGTCCTTCAGCTGCGCACGAAAGAAAAAGGGAGGGAAGAGGATCCCAGGGTGGCGGGGCGGGACCGGCGGCGGTGATCCTCGGGGGAGAAACCCATCCTGTCTAGGATGGCTCTTTTGACGTTCCGGAACTCCCCCGAGCAGAAGCTGGCAGGCCGAGCGCCGCAGTCTGGGACTCTCCCGACAGCAGGGGAAGCAGGCGCACGGCCCACTCCGCCGCCGGCCAGCCACAGGCCTCCGCCGTCGCCTCAAACATTTCGAGGAAGGTTTGGGGGTCATCCGCCGCTGCCATCCGGTGCATGGTGATGCCGGAAAAGGAGGAGCATGGAGGGGATGGAGACTGTGCCCCCGACCGGGCCAGCAGTCCCTCCAGCAGCTGGTTCTGCTTCCCCGCCTGGTTCTGGAGTGCCTCCAGATGCCGTCTATTTGTTGCCGTCTGCTGGCTGTGTATTGCCGTGATCTGCCCCAGCATCTCTCCCAGCAGTGTGATCAGCTGTGATGGCTGCTCCGTAGGCGGCTGCGGGGCCGGCTGCGGAGGTGGCTGCTGTGGAGGCTGCTGCATGGGCGGTAGTGGATCGGACATTTCCGTGTGCTGCCCCACGTTGGGCGCCAGTGTAGCAAGCCGTGCTACAGACGGGGTTCCCCAGCACACAAAACTCCCGGACCAGACTGTCGGTTCACACAACTCTTTATTTAAGGCACAAAATGCAGCTGCACCGCTGCTCGGCAGCTTCCGCCCAGAGGCCTGTCTCTCGGTGTGTGTCTTCCCCCGGATCCAGCACACTACTGCCAAGATAAAAGGTAGAGTCATCAGACAATCATTGGCAGGTGAGGTAATCAACTCACCTGGTGCCACTCTCCCAGGCCTTCCCCACACCTCTCCCTCCTGCAGCTGAGCGCGAACCACGCCCACCTCCACACAGAGATATTACATTACTTAATAGACAATGAGAAACGCTCCTATAACTTAAAAATATATTCTATTTGTTTGTTCTGATACTTATTTGAAGATCCTTGCATTGAAGGGGTTAGGGTTAATGTCTAACCCTAAAAAAAAAACCTAATACATACGTACATACATCCCCCCTGCCCTAACCCATAGCTGCACCACTCCATATTGAAGGTTAGGGTTGAATTTAAAATACCATTCACCTGGGCGCCTGGTTAGCTCAGCTGGTAGAGCTGGCGACCCATGTACTGAGGCTGAGTCCTTGCTGCAGCGATCCAGGGTTCGAATACGACCTGCGGCCCTTTGCTGCGTGTCATCCCCCCCTCTCAGCCCCCTTTCCTGTCTATCTTTGGCTGTCCCTATCAGGTAAAGGTAAAAAAAATAAATAATAATAATAATAAAATACCATTCACCAATGCTTGGTTATACAACATACCGAATGTCTGTGACAAAGGATGCAGCAGGAATTAATTCTAGTTTTACCCATATGACTGCACCACTCCATATTTAATGTTAGGGTTGAATTTCAATGATCATAGAGACTACAGAGGTTGTCGGTGAACTCACTAGTCCGCCTTTTATAGCACTTTTGCAGACTAACTCAAACTTCATGACTTGTAGATTTTGTCACAAGTCGGGAGTTGAGTGGTGGTCCAACAGGGTTGAGATTCATCAGCCCTCTGGAGAAACTGGATTGTCCACAGGAAGACATCAGGTGACAGACCTTGCATTCAAAGAGGGTGTGCCTAAGGGTCGGGCTGTGCTCCAACAGAACTAGTTTGTATGAGTACGAAGGGATAACAGAGCACATTTTCATTCAAGTGCTGCACTCACATGGAAATCAACAGTGATAGTTGTTTGAAAAATGAAGTTCAAACCCTGGCTCCTTTCTCACCTCCACTCACCTCCACTCACCTCCACTCACCTGGCCAGCCGCTGTGTGAAGTGGGTGTGATTCAGTGAGGTAAGGGAATTATGATGGGGCCCCAGTGCGCACTAGTTACTAGTTATAAAACACACACACACACACACACACACACACACACACACACACACACACACACACACACAATTAGGCATATGTATTTTACCTTTTAGCAAATCATCCCATCACATAGTCAAATAGAGACCCCCCCTTTCCCACCTCCCCCATTGCAAGTTGTTTTGAGTTTTTATGTTGTAAAGTGTGCTCATATGTGCTTATGTTGCTGAGGTTTTTTTTTCCCAGTCCCACACCGTACTCCCCTACAGGAGCAGAGTCTGGGAGCTGCTTCTTTTTCTCCTCCCCTCTCCTCTTGTTTTCTCCCCCTTTTCCTCCCCCCCTACAAGTAATTTCCCCACGGGGATAATTAAAGTATTTCTGATTCTGATTCTGATTCTGACACTGGACAACAACAGAATATTACCCAGCAATCATCACTGCATATCTAATATACAAAAATGCCAAAGAATATAAGACATTCATTTAATTTAACCGTCTTTTTAATGACGTATTTCTAGCTTTAAAGGCTCATGTCTGTGGTTCCCAACCTGTTTTCCTTCAGGGAGCCATTTTCTATCACTGATCAAACTGACTAAGTGACGGATATATATATATATATATATATATATATATATTCAGTGCATAACAATAACAGTAGAGAACAACTGATAAACTGTACAATGACCACAATAACTGCAGAAAGTTTGTGTAAGACCAGAGATTTTAATGAATTTTGAGTTCACAATTCATACATTACAAAGTAGTTTTTTTCTCATTGTTCTATTAGCTCATTTGGTTGTTTTAACTTTTCTTATGCAGGATGAGGCTGTTTATAGAAAGTGAAGGCTCTGTGCTTGGGTGTAGTTCTTCACCGTGCCCTTATCCTGTGAGATTATTTATATGTTAATTAATAGTCTAAACTTTGAATAAAATAACAATTTAATTTAGTTTTCTAAACAGAAATGAATAAAATGCTGAGATAAAGACTTATTGTATGTTAAAAACATTTCTTAAAAAGACCTTGCGACTCCCTGCAAGGCTCTGGTGACCCTTAGTGGGTGTCTGGACCCCCTGGTTGGGAACTAATGGCTGATGTAACATAAGCCATTAATACTGACTTACCAAAAATATGAGGTTGTTAGTTTCGGAAAGTTACAGAAACAGTCGGACACAGCCCCCCAAATCCTCTGCCAGAGGGGGTTTCCAAAGCTATTTGACCAATCAGAAAAAAAATGAAAAAGCCTATTGTTGTGTTACGCTGCCAAAAATCCACTAATCAGAAGGTTGGTAGTTTGATCCCTGGCTCCTCCCACAGCATGTCGAAATGTATTTGAGCAAGATAAGAACCCCAAATTGCTACCGATGCTGTCCATTGGTGTGTGAATGTGGATGAATGAGTTATTTTTTGTTTGTGATGACCTTTGCCATCACTATATGAATGTGTGTGTGAATGAGTGAATGTGACATGTAGTGTAAAGTGCTTTGAGTGGTTGGAAGACTAGAAAGGCGCTATATAAGTAGAGTCCATTTAGCATATGATATCCACTTGTGTGTGATATGGCTGTGTAATATAGCTTCGTGTTGCACACACTGTACATGTCGTACAGTAAAGTGAAGGTATGGTATCTGTACTCTGTGGAGCAATGTGAAAATGGCAGCCTCTGACACATGTTGACAGTTGACGATATGTGTCAACCCACAATGACATGTGAAGACCATGCTTACACAGATAAAACATAAAGTAATGGCATTTCACACACCAACCCAGGAAGAGGGGATGGTAGGGTGGCATGAGTCAAATTCTGACCAGGGCCACAGAACACTTTGCACTGGCCCAGCACCATTTAAACAGAAATTGTTATTTTCTTGTGTCTCTGATTTTCTTAACACTAATAGTAACACACAATCACAGTGCTGTTAGTGGAGACCACACCTTGCATTGCATTAACTGATGCCCATGATTGATTCAATAGCCCTAATAGATACAAACTGAACACAGTCCCTCCAGTCAGGGCTCCTTCTAGGACACAATCCTCCAGAATGGTGAAGCGGACGTGCTTTGTCTAATGTGGATCTATTTTGAGGTCTTTAATATGAACAAAAAGCTCGAAGACCCCCTGGAGAGCACAGATCTATTATTACCTATTATTGTGGGACATGCTATTACACTGAACCGACTATGCGTTCTCTCGCCGGCGCTAGGATCCAGAGGAATGACCTCTCTCTCTCTCTCTCTCTCTCTCTCTCTCTCTCTCATCTCTCTTTCTGTCTCTCTCCCCTCAAGACTGTTTTAAAGTCTCTGTCAGACTTGGGCTTGCACGCTACTTCCTGGACGGACGGAGGAATGGAAAGCTTCCAGCGCCTCTCCACACACACCAACACCACCACCACCAACACCGACTCTCCCCTCTGTGTGTGCCCGACGAGCGCTGCCTCCGCCGCCGCAGCCGCAGGAGCGACGAGGCGCTGTGTGGACCATCGCTGCTAGTCTCCCCTAACCCTTCTCCCCTCGCTGCACACACACGCTCCTAAACAACCATCTCTATCCGAGTGTTATGCTCATATTCGGGAATATCGGGGGGGGGTTTGGACGGAAAGACTCTTTACTGGACCTCTAAAAATCTATCCGCCCTCCACCTCCACCGTGCCCGGTCTCCGTCTGCGCTGCGTCCACGGCGCTGCTTTTTACGCAGCGAAGGCGTTGCTGATTTGCCCGCAAAAGGGAGAAACTCAACAGTTGTTGCTGCTTATTGTTTGCATGTCGACGTGCATATCACTACCATGTGGAGGCTACTGCAATCGTGCTGTCGCTGCTGGTGGATTTTCTCTCTCGTTTTGCCAGCCTTCGTGCTCCTCTGGGCCGAGTGTCATCCTGGTAAGTTTCGTACCCCTGCAAGTCAAACACTGGGCTTTTTTGTGTTCGTACCTATGAAGGAATTTGGTTATAACTGTGGCATTGTCGGGGCGAAACGTATCTTATATAGGCTGCTAGAATAAAGTCAGATTCCCTCATTGAATATCCCGTCACGGGTCACTGGCTGGGAATATTTCGTGCCTATCGGCTTGACGCGCTTCCCCGGGACCGGCATCTCGACTGGAAGCTGTCGGCAAAAAGCAGTCAGTGATCGGATTTTTCTGCAGCTCAGTGACCTGTTTGAACCCCTTCACATCCATTCAATGTACAACTTTATCATAGGAGCCAATTTCCCCCTACTTTCCTCCTCCTGGCAACTCAGTTATCCCTCTTTACCTCTCCACTTCCACCTTTTTCATTTTAACCCTTTAAATAGCTATTAAACTGGGGAGGGCAGAATGGGCTGGGATGCCATTAAAGCAGCAGTAGGCAGAGCGGGTTGCTTGTTGGGTCAGATGGGTAGATAAAACGAGGGAGATGTGATGCCTTGTCAGCCGGCGGCGCGTACGCCAAAGCCGTTATCTCCCCGCCTGGAGCAAGACAGCAGGGCTGTGAAACCGCTTCACACACTCCGCCACACAACCCAAAAATTGCAGTTGAGGCTCAAATCTGTGCTGAGGGGAAGGCAGAGCTCATGTCTCCTTTCGGGGTTGTCATGTAGAGCCCCCAGAGGGGATCCACAAATAATCAGATCTGACTCCAGATACCCATAATGCTGTGGAACACTGTCCTAAATGCTCACTTTCTCTAATTGGGCTTATCTCCAGCTATTATATAATAGAACTGATCTGTTTCCCATTTCATTTTACAAAGGGAGCCCTTCAGTCCGCTTTAGTTCGAGCTAAATCAAAGACCCTCGGGCCCTGGAGTCCAGTTTGAGGTCCAAAGCATCCAACGTTTCAACACCTGATGAGGAACAACACCTTTTCTGTTGCTCTCTCTCTGACTGTGAGGAGGGAACATGTGTTGTATGAAATTGGGAAAAAAAATCCAACAAATCAAATTTGACCTTGACCAGTGTGTCCACATACACTGCCTTCCACCAGCTGTAGACATTGGAAATGTCTCTTAGACACTTTCACAGGCTGCCCGAGAACCTAATGCGTTAAATTCTGAAGCTGCGATGTTCTTGTGCTCACCATCACCCACCCGGCCCGAAAATAGATTCACATTATATGAATATGTGGTCATATTTTACAGAGGAACTCCATCTGGGAGCATCTTTGTCACCTCATAATTAGAAAGTATCCAACAGAGGTGAACAAAATGGTTAATTTCCAAATATTTTTGACCAAATGCCTGTATATCTGTATGTTCCACTGGACATCCTTTTCAGCACGACTAATGGCACTTTTAGAAGATATAGAATTAGTTGAAGAGAATTATGTGTGTGTGTGTGTGTGTCATGTTGATGGAGAGTGATAGGGAGCTGTTTGTTTCACTCAGCCAGAGCAGCTCAGAAATATAATTCAGCTTGTAAAATGACTAAATGGAACCCTTTATGATAGGGATCCTTCCTCTGTGGCTCTTCCTGATGTTTCTTCCATTTTTTCCCTGTTACAAGGGGTTTTCTTTACCTAAATCAAGGGTCTTAGGACAGAGTGTGTTGAATATTGTACAAATTGTAAAGTGTCACATCCTGGTTTTGACAGCATATTGATATATTAGCTGGCTCTGCTTTCAGACCAGTGTGTAACGGCGGTGTGAAGGCTTCACCAGGTCTTTCTTTGGAGAAACAAGGAGTGAGAAGAGCCCCCGCAGCCCTGTAGCAGTGTATAGACGTGGCACATTATCACAGAGCCGGTTAGTCGGACAGTATTAGCCTACTTTTCCCCTTGCCTAGATTAGCTCTTGTATTCCTTATGAGTCTTAAGAGATGTCATGAAATACACGCAGAATGAGGGAGAGTCAGAGAGCAGGAGATAATGCTGCCCTGCTGACCAATGAAAACAGTGACAGCTTTAACAAATCCATAGCGGTATTAATACACTGTCAGGATCGATACGCTGGCTTTCAGGTTTGGAAATCGGCCCCTTTAGGGAGATTTTAGGGTTTTACTGTCCCTTCAGCCCCTTCTATTTTTCATCTATTTTTCTGATCACAAATGTGGAGAAGAATCAAGTGGAATGAGCCGAGACGTAAAAGAGGAGCTGCTGCTGTGAGAGATGGATGGATGGAAAGTATAGTTTGTCCCAGACAATTCATTTATTTGTGGTGGTCCATGGAAACATGAGGATTGCTTGCGCTATTGAAAATGAAGCCACTTCCTTATTTAAAGGAAATTAACACATCCAACAGATAAATGTTCAAAATATTAAGATTGTACAGATTGGAAAATATAGTAAGCTAAAGAAATAGCCTGCTGTGAGAGGAAGTGGGAAAAGGGGGCTGCTTGCACAGCAAAATAAGACAAAATCAGCTGCATGTCACTTGTCTTTCCAAAGATAACAAATCAATACAAAAAGCCAAAACCATCTTTTCGGGTTGGGGAAAATCAATTTTAATGAAATACAAGCTACAAATAGGATGATGGATGGATGGATGGATGGATGGATGGATGGATGGAAGTGGGCAAATCCACGCTTGAGTCTGATAATCTCTCCCCCTCTCTACTTGACCTCCTCTTCCAACCCCCCTTCCCCCCTAAAGCTGGACCACACGCTGTCATGATACCGGCTCTGAGCAAGCCTGAGGTGGCTACTTCATGTTAACGGCTGGCGGATGATATAGAAACAGAGACGAGTGTGCTTCTCTCCTGCTGGGTATCATCATCCGCAGGCTCTCAGCGCTGCTCCCCTTACCTACAGCCCGCTACTCTTTTCTATTAATAAGGCTCTTAGCCAGGAGATTGGGTTGGAAAAGCACCAGGAAAAGCAAGATCGGCTTTCCATGAAAAAAAAAAAAAACCTGCCCGTGGGGCCAGATGCAAATGTGGGATTGCTTTGGTGGCTGATGATGTATAATCAGCTGAAAAGAAACAGAAAAAAAAAGCATCTGAAGAACTGATTTTTAGCCTTTCTGGTTCACTGGTCCTACTTTAATGTGGAGTGGAGATGATCCAAAAATACATCCAAATATATGTCATCACATCCTTCATATATGTTTGTTCATTTCATTGTGAGTGACAAATGTTCATCATTACGCTTCGTTGTCTCCATGATTGGATCCATTTCTGTCTTATTGAGCCCTAAAAATCTTTATTTTTACTTCAAAACAAAACAAAGAGAAAAACAATCTGCCAGTGGGGTGCAGTTATTTCAATACAAATCAGCCTGTCAGAAAAAAAAACTGATCACTTTACAATGACAGGAACTGAAAGTCAGACTGAGATTGATAAACAAGATTATGTAACAATACATTCAAGAATCATTAACAATAAATGGCAACAGTGTTATATAACACAAAGAAATGGAGATTGTTGAAATGGCCTTGCATGATGTTTTCTCAGTTCTGTTCACTTGATATTGACGCTCTTGTTCAGTGTGTCACATCTTATTTGCCTCGTGTGTGATGAAAGTATGTATGCATGTATGTTTGAATAGGATCCTATGATTTGTAAAAATTTTGATTGGTGTGGTAAAAATTCTCTTTACATGCTGAAAAACAGCTCAATCCAAGGCAAACGGAAGCCATTTGAGAAAGACGCTGGTGATTAATCCCCTGTCATGTATATGTAGTTTTGTATTTGCCTGCTGAGTCATAAGGCATACAGCTCATCTCTGAAGCGCCTGCCTGTGATTTCCTGAACTGGGAGGCTGTGATGCCCGCAATTACGGCCTCTGCACCAACCTGCAGCACACGCGGGTGGTTAATCCTCTCAGCTCCTGAAGAGTAGAGTGCATTGTTTACTCTGGAGTCCACCTTAATAATGTCATACCTCACTGCAAGGCAACACCCGCAATGATTCAGCCAAGTGCCGTTGGAGATACAGGAAGTTTGTGCCGTGCTGTCGTATCTTCACAAGTGACCTGACTGCTGCCAACACGCCCCTAGTCGCCCACATAATGGCCAGTTTGTAGCCTCGCAAACATCTGTTTTTTTTTTTTTTTGATGGGGATGGTAAGCACTGAACATCACCGCAGGGTGTCCGCTAGCTGACACAGGGCATCACTTTTCCTTTTTCGTCTGCGGCGTGCGGTGTCAGCGTCGAAGCATCACGCCCCTGTCACTGCGCGGCACTTCAGCCCTGGGTTAACCAAACACACAAGAGAGTGGGAGGCAGAAAGAAAGGGAAGAAAAAAGAAAGAAGACAGAAAAGATGGGCAAAGAAAGAGATATTTGGCCTTCAATCTGTCGCTCTCTGCTGCGAAAAATGAATGGGCCCTGTCGCTCCTGGCTGGGAGGAAAAACAGAACAGTCATTGTAATCTCACAACAAGCGCCTGAGCTAGCACATCTTCTCACCCCCACAAATGCACACACACACCCCTCCTTCCATCCATCTCTGTCTCTTTCCTCCCCTTTTTTTTATTCATCCTCAATGCTGTTAGAAGTGCATGTACCTTTTCTGCTTCTTTTAAACCCAGGAACAAATGAGACAAGTGGGTTTGTTAGCCATTCAAAGCAGGCCTCTGTGTCACCAACCTTTTCTCTGAGCCCTTTTTGTTGCAGCGATACAGGGGGAAGGTTGACATTTAGTGAAGGGATTGGATATGCTTCGTGGCCCTTGGTTGCCAACATTATCATCATCATCATCTCGGTGCTCACCGAGCTATTATCTGGCTTCCGCGGTGGCCGGTAAAATGCTTGCACGTCGGCTCACAGGTCACTTTATCAGTCAGCGCCGGGGCCTGTCAACACCACCCCAGCTTCCCTTAATAGATTGATTAAAAGAAATCGTGTCATGTTTGTGTGTGTATGTAAGGCAGGCAGTTATCCATGTAGGATGCAGCTTTGGTATCTACCGCCTTGTCATTAGGAGGTAGCCGCTCGAGAGAGGGGGATCAGGAGACAGATAAATGG